CCCACCCCATTTTTCATTCGAGCAAGCTGTGTTAGTTTACTATCCGCATCTTTGAATACCGTATCTTTTTTCTCTTTCAATGTTCAATGGTTTTCTAACAGCCTACACCACCACTGGCTTCTTTCCCTTTCTTTTCCTTGTTTTGTTACTATTCTTTGCAAGTTTGGCTAGGTAGTCAATTGGTCCCGACCTACTTACCTTTTTACATCCGCCTTCTGCTTCCTCCCGCAGCTTCCTTCTTTTAATTATGCATCCTTCTGCAATTGGCCACCCTCTCTCTATATATGTCGGAAAAATCCCAATTAGCATACGAGTCATTGCGGCAGCTGATGAACTTACGAGTGTTGATCAGTCTCTGAGGGAAGACATATTAGCATGTTATCAGGTCATGTAACCTCGCACTAATCACTAGCAAGTGCTGAGAGGTTTCCGCATTCGAGCACATCAGTATTTATTAGGTTGTATCACTCTACACTAATCTCGGGTATCCTTCATAATTCCTCTTAAGTATGTAGATAATTTGTATACAAATAAAGTAACTGGTACTGCAAAAGAGGGGATTGATTGAAGCAATGGGTGCAGATAAATGTAAGTATACACCAAACTTCATGTTTATCGAAACCTCACGCATATCGGTGGGTCTTGCAATAGCGGCATTTCTGCTCCAGCCTCTCAACTTGGAGCTTCCTAGACTTCTTAGCATGTGTTGGACAACGCGACTTTGGTAGGAAAATTTGTACAACTCAACTTAGAGTGCAGTCTGGGAAGCCGTTGGTGTTCGTAGCCGGTGCCGCAGCCCCACTGATTGTTCAGTTGACATAATGCGTCATTTTGTTAGAAATTCACTACAAACTGTCAAGGTGGAGCAGCCCCACAAACATTGACTCGATGCTGGAATATATAAAGGGAAAATCAACCCACCACGGACACAGTCGCATAATCAAACTCCCCAGCCCCCTCGGATTCCGGGAACATGCCAGCTCTCAGCATGGACCCTTCCCAAGCCGACTTGTTCAAGGTGACTGTCCATTGCGCAGCGTTTAACTGATACCACGTGATTGTGTTTCGGAGATTGGGCAGTGACTGAGTAAGACAAGAACGGAGTATGTACCAGAAGCGAAAACGAAAATCTGGCATACATAACATAACGTCAGATGCCAGTCCGTTATCTAGCTGGAGCACCAGCTGCATTTTGTAATTAAATGAGCTTTTTGATAGCAGGGCAACAATTACCCACAATACAATATTTTTTGTTTGTAATCCGAAAACTTGTAATATGTGACCTTGCCTTTCTTGGTGTCACAGGCTTGAACATTGAACGTTTTTTCTTTTTCAAGTCCTTCTGTACTCGGGTAAATGGCAGTATACGTACTTATCTACGAAAAAAACATTTACATGGGTACTATATACAAACTATGTAGAAGTGGGAAGGAAGGAGCGAGGACCACCTCTCCCCTTCAACAACGTGGCCATTCATCGATCGTGGTGATGGGCCCTCGTGGCAATTCGTGTCATAGCCATTTATTGATAGGCATTGTCATGGGTAACCCCGGGGTACTTTCGGCCATACCCGTACCCCTACCCATGAAAACCCGTACCCTCAACCACGGGTAGGGGTTTCTGTGGGTATGGGTATGGGTTTACACGGGTTTGGCGGGTTTGGTGGGTCTTAGGGGTTTAACACTACAGGTATTTCTATTATGTGTTACTTGTTAATGTACCATACAAATTCTATGATGTGGGTGCGTTGTTGGTAGGTAAAGCTTGGGTAAAGCCAGCTTGAGTTTGCGATGCGACGAACACGTTAGTCCTCGTCTATTGTCATGGCTCGTCGTTGTTGCCGTTCCCCCCTTCTGCCCATCCATAGCTATAAAGTCGCCTTCCTCGCTACGCTCCCTTTATCCGTCCTCACCAGCAGCTTGCATTTCTCAAACGTGAACACGACGTGCTTGGTGGGTATTTGGGCATGTCGTGTATCATCGTCGCTGCTCCCCCCTTCTGCCCATCATCGTCGTCGTCACCATCCATTGTGTTGGTGTTGTGTTGTGCTGCCGTGTCGTGATTATCGTTGTCATGGTGTTATGTCATGATTGTGGTTATGAATAGTGGCCTGGTTGTGGTGCCGTGTGGTCGTCTGCCACGTCCGTCGTCGTCTTCGTCACCGTCCATCGTGTTGGTGTTCCGTTTTGCTGCTGTGTCGTGGTTATCGTTGTCATGGTGTTACGTTGTGGTTGTGGTGTTCCATGGTAGCCTGGTGGTCGTGGTGCCATGTGGTCATCGTCGTGTCGCATGTCATTGTCGCAACGTGGTGGGAGTCGCATCGTGGTCATTGTGTCGTGTCTCGCTGTGGAGGGACAACGTCGATGATTGTCGTTGTCGTCTGTTATCATTTGTCATCATTGTTTGCTGTCGTAGTTTGCCGTCGAGTGGATATACCCTGCCCATGGACGAGTAGTCTGACGTCATCGTTACGTCATTGTCCTGTGTCTCAGCATGGTGGGTTGTAACGAACATGGGATGGGGGTACACACTGTAGTCACCTCAAATAAACGACGACGACATGGCACCCATATTCTGTGTTGAAGAGATCAGTGATGCGGGGGAGGTGAGTTTGCTCACCTCAGTGCGTCGTCGTCTGCTTTTGTTTGTGGCCGTCGTTCGTGAGCCGTGGTGGCTGGTGGTTGGTCTTGCCTGG